TGTATCAGGTACCTAAATCCTCTGCTTTTTGCACGATACCTTAGAGGGATTAAACCACCCCTGATTTATCAGGCCCCTCTGGTTTAATTTATATTAAATTTATTAATATAAATTGGCCACTTTTTGGATTTAATCCATAAATTCCACGTAATTCTTTTGAATTACCTGTACCAGTTCTATCCCAGAGTTTTTGCCATAAAAACTCTTACTTTTTGCACCTTGTGTAGCTAGAGGACACGTGTCTTGGCATCACATAGGCTGACACCTTCCTTCTCTCTGAGCCAGGTGAGTTTCTATTTCTCTTTCATCATGTTTCTCTATTTTCTAGATTGTACTGAGAGATTGTCCCTTCCATCTCTCTGAGCCAGCAATGCAAGCTCCCTGTGTTTGGTCTTAGAAACATTTAGGCTCACTTGCATGTTCCCCGGGCCGTTTCCCTGCTCATCTAGTGAAGGACATTCCCAGTCCTTACAAATCCTCCTGGTCGGCAAGGTTGTACAACCTCGTCAATCAGGAGGGAATCCTCCTGGCCGGCGAGGCTGTACAACCTCGCCAACCAGGAGGATTCCCTCCTAGGCTGGCAAGGTTGTACCGTTGACCAGGAGGGAATCCTCCTGGTTGGCAAGGTTGTACAGCCTCGTCGACCAGGAGGGAATCCTCCCCGTCAACCAGGAGAATTCCCTCCTGGGCCGGCAAGGTTGTACCGCCAACCAGGAGGATTCCCTCCTAGGCTGGCGAGGTTGTACCGTCGGCCAGGAGGGAATCCTCCTGGCCGTTGAAAACATTTTGTTCTTTTTTTTTTTGAAAAAAAAGAGCCTTGTTGACCAGGAGGATGCCCTCCTGGCTGGGAGGCTGTACAACTGAGCCATGTAAGGTCTCAAGGCCGGGAGGAACCCCTCCCGGCTGTGAGACTGTACAGTCTTCGGGATGGGAGGAACCCCTCCCAGCCCAAGACTTTTTTTTTTTTTTTTTTTGCAATCCTCCCTCCCATAGGACCCATGCCTGGGTCCTATGGGAGGGAGATTGGCGTGCAGGCCTGCACGCCAACTGCAGGCCAATCTCCCCTGCAGCAGATTGGCGTGCGCAAGGGGGGTTGGCTTGCGCTTATCAACCCCCCTGTAAATGGTTGTATCACATGCTACAGATGTGCAAAAATGTTGAGATAGTTCTTGTGTGATATTTGAAAGTGCATGTTATCATGTTTGCATTCCAATTTGACCTTGTTCAACTGAAATATCTGTAATACTTCATTATAGTACCAAAATCCAGTCATCCGTAACTAATGAGCTGGATAACTAATTTTGGTTTTATTTTGAGGCATAATTTTTCCCAGGGTTGAGCTTTCCACATTATGAATAGTATTTTTTATAAATCAGGGTAAATTCAAGTGCTAGATGCATTTAAATACTGAAAGTCTAAGATATAGACCTCTAAATTCTCATTTAAACATGAAATTTATGGATAACTGGATAACATAACTGCCCATAACTGGTAGGTCTTTGGGAGTTAGGCTCAGGGGGTTAGGGGTTAGTGACTTCAAATATCATCAAACACCACACACAAAAGCAAAAATCATCTCAAACAGACCAATGGACCCAACATCTGATCATTTTTTGCTCCAATACCAGGCCATCCAAAATCACCTATCAGATGCAACTCTCCAGCAGGATCTAACTGGTCATCTCTGGAAAAAAATTGGCTCTGATAAATCCAGTTCACCATAGGGAAATCAGTCATAGTTTTATCTTGGTGTTTATCACTGTCACTTGTTTTTTGCTTGCATTCAATTTTTTTTTATGAATTTTTTTGTTGCTTTTTTTTTATGAATTTTTTTGTTGCTTTTTTTTCCACTCACCTTTTTAGCTTTTGTTCACTTGTGTTTTTTTTCTCACTTTTTTTTTCTTGCTTCCTTATCATTTTTTTGACTTTTTTTTCTTGATTAGTTGTTATTTTTTTCTGAATTTTGTTCCTCTTTTTTCTCAATTTAAGAAAATATATTGATTTCAATCATGTCAACTAAGTGAGAGTGATCAGTAAAGAAGAAGAGATTGTGCGACCAGTAAAGGAACATTTAATCCTCATTCTCCTCCTCTTACACCTCCTCTCCAGCATCATCAATCTCTTCAATATTAATTCCTTTGTTTGCAGCTTCCCAAATATTGATTCTTTCATTTGTGGCATTCTTGCCAGCTTCCTCCTTTGCTTTTTCCTTTTCTTCTTTCTCTTTTTTACTGCTTCTTCTTTCTCTTTTTTTTCTCCCCTTGCCTTATCTTTCTCCAACTTGCAAGCAATAATCACCCTTTTTTTCTTTTGGTAGTAAGCCCAAATATCTTCATCCATCAAACTGACGTGTTTAGACATGACCACCTCATCCAAGTTTGATGGTATTGCTGCTTGCATTGATTTCAATTTCTCTTGTGAGATCTGAACAAGATCTTTCTGCATTGAAACAATCTTCTCAATCAACACCTCCTTGTTGTGTTTTTGTTTGGCCGCTTTTTGACCTTAAATACACACATTTCCCAAAACAGATTGGCTGGCCTCAGATTTTTTTATCTTGAATATAAAGAACAGAAGGGCTCGAGATCACAGGGGTGGAGCTGGGAATGTAAGACAAATTGGGAGCTGGAGTCAATTTTGTCACCTGCTTTCCTTGAGCATCATTCTTTATATATATAGATATATATATATAAACAAGTAAGATAAAAAATTTATCATAGCTTTGTGAGCCTTGCCTGTTAGAATAAGCATCAGCTATATATTTTAGGGGAAAGAATGAATAGACCAGGATTCAAACCTGGGACATCAGCATTAGCTAAGTCACTTTACTAGGAGTGATGCCTTTACCCCTAGGCTATCCAGTCTTGTCCATGATGCTAATTTATATGATATGATTCCTATGTGTTAGTGCCATCAACTTGATTGTGTACATGAATTGATTCTACTCATGACATATGATTTTTATGATTTATGATGACACAGGTTGACACAATGGATCTGTATTTCAACATTGCCACTTTTCATGCGGTGTTTGACATTTGAATAGCATCCATAAAACTTGTTTACCAACTTCAGTATGAGTGCCCAGCAACATTTGACAGCACCAATTGGTCTTAGCGTAAGCTTCTTGAACCCTTTTGAATTCTTCTTCTCTTTTTTGTACTTGGTAATAAGTTCTGACAGGTTGTTGTAAATTTGTTCCCAGAAGGTTGATGCCTTCTGTCCTTTCCCAACTTGTATTCAACCAAGCAATACACAATTTTATATCCTCTTCAACATAACAGTGAGGGAAGCCCTTATTGGGTGCAGAGTTGAAGGCTTTTTGTTTTGGCTCATTGTCAATGTTCAAAGTTTCAGTTGGTTTTGGAGTAGTCAAACCTTTGGTTGTTTTGGGAGCAGTCAAAGTTTTGGCCGGCTTCAGAGTAGCAACATTGTCCGTTTTGGATGTTTCTTCCTTTTTTCTGCTTTGGGGAACTGCGAGATGGGGTGGCTGGCATTTTTGTGTTGGTGCCATGGCGCAGTGTAGTGTGCCTAAAAACCACCAACACTTCCCGATTTCTGTGCGCAGAAAGAACTGCTAGCTAGACTCAAGTACTTCTGAATCTTCAGTGTGTACATGTGTTCCACTATAAAGGCTTTCCTTAAAGCTGCTTTATCTCTTTCCATTTCATGTATATTTATTTATTTTCCCAATTTTATTAGTCATAACCCAGCCACCCTAGCCCAGATGTATTTTTTCTACAGGTGGTTTTTAGCTTTTTGGACACCAGAGATGGGGATGACTCTGGTCTCCCACAAGTCAGAAACCCTAAAGAGCCACTGGAGGACTTCTGGTCAACATCCGGGGGTCTCCCAGAGTCGGTTTAGAGCCTCAAAATTCAAATTTCTCTGCAAGAATCAAGAGTTTTTGGGTCTAGATTGACTTCTGTGAGGGTCCCAGATCCAACGGGAAGTCCTCCACTGGACGACTTCCCGTCAGTATCTTCGGGTCTCCCAGAAGCGATTTAGAGCCTGGAAAGCTAGAATTCCCAGCAAAACTCTAGACTTTTCGTGTCTAAATCCACACCTTCAAGGGCCCAGATCCGACGGGAAGTCCTCCACTCTGGAGGCGGATTCGTTTAGAAGCTCCTAAAAAAATCATCAAGGAAAAAGAGGAATGCTCTTGTGCGGGCAAACTCGGCCGACTGAGTCGCTGCCAAGTATGTGCTAATGCGCAACACTTTCATAAATTCTTCAGGCATGTAGTGTCGAAAAAACATTTAAATTGTACTTTTCATGAATGGAAACGCTATTCCAAGGACAGTCTTAGGGAGTCATTTGATACATGGTTGTGCTTGTAGTCTTATATACAATTTCAAGCAGGTCTATCAAAAAAAGTGGAAATTGTTCTTGACAAGGTATAATCAACTCTTGTGGGATTTCTTCTTGGCATCTCGTGAATAACAAAGCATGGCAAGTTCTGCTTTTTCCAGAGTTCGGGGCTGTACATAAATTGATAGATGATTTAGTCGGTTATAAGTATTCTTTGTCCACGTAGCAAGCTCTCTGAGGGATTTCAAATTTCCACCGCACCTTTGTATCCGGTTTGAGGTCGCAACAATACCTTGCCGTTATGCCCCCCGTCGGAAGAGTCAAGCCGTCGCAGGTAAACCGATCGGTGCCTTTTGGAGTAGCATCGATCGCTGAATAAAGAAGAATATAGCGAGGGAGTTAGTATGAAGGGGCCAGTCGGGCGGACTCCATGCGAGACACGAGTCAAGTGAATGCTTATGTACCCAGGAAATCTTTTTTATCCAATGGAGGTAAGTTTGGGACCTTGGAATCTTTCTCTATGTTGATGTGTCTCACACAGATACCAAGTTTGGCCTTCGGTTTCGACATGTCCTCGCATACAAACCTTGAGTAAACAGCTTCACTCTGGATCAAGAGCAACATACAAAGGTTGAAGAAGTTTGTGAATCGCATGGCTGGTGCGAAGGATATTTACAGTAGCTCAGTTTCTGATGGGGAGGAAGCCGATCTGCGAATGATTGAAAAGTGGATGATGACTATGTGACAGTGCAATTGGCGGATGAGGTTTGCTGCTAGGACTCGATCGCAGCCGCCTTAAATGGGGCCTCTCAAACCAAATCCAGCATCCACCCACGAGAAAACCGGAAGGTATGTAGCTGCTGGCAACAGACATTCCATCGAACAAGGCTGAAAGCCAACCCCCTTGTTTGCATGGAATCGGGCGCGAGCGGTCGGGCGAATCCTTTTCGTGGTGTTGTTCATTGATACCATCAACTTATCACCCCTGATGGAAGAAGCCTCGGGTATAAAACCCGCTGATCGTGGCCCTCCCTCTCCTACGGAATGCTTCTCGCGGTTCCTTCAAGAGGCTTAAGATGATACATCACCAGGGTATCTGGAAAACGACAAGTCGCTACGAAGAAACTTCCTCAGGACGCTGTTCAGTATGCCATCCGAACCTCAAATCACTCCGTCTCTTTCATGTTTCAGCCAGACGGCGCTTCTTCAGCCTCTCAGGGAAGATGGTGCCTATGCCGATCGAAATGGAGGAAACGATTCCGATGAAAAGAGCTGTACGTAAATGGGCCAGCTAGTAAGCCGGACGGCCACCTGCTTGTGGCATCGCGCTCTGAGGAACCCTATGAGTTGTTTGTCCCTGGACTTATCCATGCCCAAACTGGATATCGGATCAAGCCAGTTACTCGGTTTAAAGGAAAACAAAAGAGACCGAGTTCCGACTAGAGTATCGTGCTGGCACTGAGGGTGTCCGTTGCATGACATCCAAGGCGGGCTTGAGCTGTTTGCGGCCAAGTTGAAGCTCCATTGATAAAGCAAAGAGACAGATTGACGGCAGCGTCACTTGCCACGGAAATTGGGAGCGTTGTGCAGCTGAACGCGCTAATGTATACCATCGTGACGGAAATATTAGCAAAGTGAGAACAATGCACACACCAAGAAGGAAATCAGCTCTTATCCTCAGCCTCGCGCCCTCTTAGATAGGCATTAACAGATGCCTGTGGTGATGGGTTCCGGGTCGGTCTGGCCAGCTTCATCTGAAAATTGCTTGGCCGGAATGGGATGAGATCTCATTGCTCATCGGTTTTCTTATTCGAAACCTGTCCTCTTTGTCTAGAGCTTGGTATGAACCTGAGGTTGTTTATTTACCATACGCGGACCGTGTCGGCCCTGACTCTTGCATCTCCTCCTAGCTCCTTCTTCCTCACAGACTCAGAACCCACCTCGAAGCCTGGCTCTCCCGAGTAGAAAAGAGGCCATCGCGCCTCGCCAAATGCAACCGGCGCAGTACATATCCTCCATAATAATTCTCCTTCCTAGCCACGGTCAAGTCACCACAAGTCCTCGTCCCTCAGCATCACACCCTGTAGACAAAAGAAGCAAATCGTAGCAGGTCGGTATCACATTTATACTATTCCCTTCCACATTCGTACAATTATATATATCTGTAATAATAATAATAATCACTTACTTGATCTTTCTCTACCGATAGTTTTAGCATAACCAACCCACCTAACAGCATAAATCCATCCAAAGAAAAATAGGAACACCATTGGAAACAGAACAAAGGCATCATCATGATCATGGATTCCAGTACTATTTCAGAGGAAACGAAAGGTAAATCAATGCATTTCATTCAGCGCTTAAAATCAGATTCAACTGACGCAGAATCGGCCCGCTTCTTCACAGGTCTTATCGTCAAGGCGCTGGAAGGTTTAGCCAACGAAAGTTGGAAAACACATGATGGCGAATTCCCCACATTTCCCGAGGAGACTTTTTTAAGCCACATGATCGACACCGGCAAAGCCGACTTGATCAAGTTACAAACTATATCTCTACCCGCATTGCGACAGCAGCTCTTGGGTTTAATAGAGTCATTCGATCTCAGAACTTTGGATAAAGAGCACAAACCAAAATACCCTGATGTCTTAGAGATCACCCATCAACTCGGTCCTACCTTGAATCTAATCGACACTTCCACCGAGTCCATCTCTCCCGCTATTGGGTCGGAGGCAATGGAATTACTTAGCAAGGTAGACCATGACTACGGTATTGTGAAGAGATACAGGTGTGAGGAGCTTCGAGCTAGGCTTCATGTCTTGATGACCCACAACCTCCGTAATTTGTTTGGCTCTTATTGGGAATTCGTTCAAAGTTGGAATTTCGTCGGCCCGGCCTCCTCAGACTCTGATCATGACTTAGACATGATCCGCCTCCGAGATAGCATAATTGAACTTACCGATGAATCCTGCCAAGTGATCGACGATGATATAATCAAATGGTCCAAACGATCCGATTTTGCCATTCTACAAAAGACATGGCAGGAACAAGCCGACGATTTTAGTGACACTTTGAACTTCATGGCCCAGCAAATCGATTACAACGTCAACTTCAAAAAAAAACCCAAGGAGGGCGCACCCAGAAACAACCCACGTGAAAATATCTGGGGCGGATATAATGGATTTGATGCCCCAGAAGATCAAGCTGAAACTGACTCTGAGGACGATGGGTCATTACCAGAATTTAACCTTCTAAATTTAGAACTCATTCCGAGTATCCGGAGTACTATACCACTTCTCAAATTAGGCAGAATATTCTTTACCAAATTGTTGGACACCCCCAAAGGTAAACCCCCCTTTTCGCTCAGCGATCGCCTGAGTTCCTACGAATTGGAGGAGTTGAAAACGACCACAATCAGTTTTCGTATCTGCATTATGCAGATTCTGCACGCCATTTACGAGGCCGAGGACCTAGCAGGCCTAAACAGTCAAAGGGTAGACATCATGCCGCTGTTCGACCAGGGTCCACCACGTGCTCTTGACAAGTCCTTAACGCTATTAGCATTTTTTCTTGTGCCCAAACCTTCACAACTTGATCTTCCTCTTCCTGAAAATCCTTTTAAAGAATGGTTTTGTGAATTTCGATTTACATTTTCAACGGCTCTACAACAACTCCGAGAGAACTTATTCACCTCCGACTCCGAGAGAACTTATTCACCCGATGAAATGTTTTGAAGCACGCACTTGTTTTTGGCAGCTATGCAACGCAGTTTATTGCAAAATCAACTGATCTCTTTCCAAATCGAAGCAAAATTACATCTTCCCCCTTGCGCTCCATATCCAAAAAAGCTTGCTGACATTCTCGTGGTTTTTCTGAATATTTAACATGCTTTGTAGTCCTTTTTCGTCCGCTCTTTCTGCTGATCAGATATGTATAGTTTCAAATCATTCATTGGAAAATTGCTTTTGTAGGAATCATTTATATTGTACACATCATTTCCCTTTTTGTTTTCTACTGCTTCTACTTGGACTTGTAGTTTCAAATTGTCTATTCTCAAAATTGTTTTACTAGGAATCATTCACATTGAAAATTCTTCTCATTCTTCATCCTTCTATCCAAGCATTTAATTTCAAATTAAAAATATGTTTATCAAGGTTCATTATTCATAAAGAAAACTCCACCAAGTAGATTCCTTCCCCCTGACACATTCAACATAGGCAAGTGATCTTGTAAAAGTGCCCTTGATCCAGAAAAGCCACATCAGCATCCCCTCGAACCATATACATCATGATGGGGATTCCCATAATCTTGTATATGGTTCAAAGAGGTTAAAAAAGTAAACTGCACTGTATTCTCAATTTATGTGCATTTTCCAATCTGAGATTTGGACATAAAGACCCTGGATTTTTATCTAGTGTTATGTAGAGCAACGTTTGACTGCCATACATCACCTATTGAGATTGGCGATACAGTTTCCTCAGGCCAAAATTGCCTCAGCTGAAGATCAAAGCCACATCAACCCCCTCCTTCTTTCTGCTGCGACATCTGAGGAGACATCCGAATCTCACATTAACCCCCTCCTCAGTACATCTCAAGACCAAGTCAACCCACCTGTACAAACTGTGTCAACAAAGGCTCTGTCAACCACTCCTCATTACCTTGCGCCGCCTCCCGAGCTATCTTATGCAACTAGATCCAAACTACATGACACTTCTCAAAGGTGGGCCTTGGAGCATGGGTATGCCATCGTCAAGGCAAACACTACGACTTCCAATGGGGAAGACCAAGCGGCTTATAAATGCGACCTATCTGGGCAACCAGGTGAACCGGGCCCCAACAAATTGGGCAAATCAGAAGGATTGGCTGTCCCTTCAAAATGTTGGGCAACTTCTACAAGAGGGAGGGACACTATAGGATCAAGATCAAGACTGTGCATCACAACCACACTGCTTCAGGCGATCCATACATTCATCCAATCCATAGACAATTGACTGACTCCCAAAAAGCAAGGGTCACAGAATTAACCCACGCCGGTGTCGCCCCCCTGAAGATTAAGTCGGCATTAGTTCAAGACACAAATGACCCCTTGCACGCCACACTGAACACGATTTACAATCACCGAGGGAAGATGTTCAATGAAGAGCTTGATGGACGCACACCGTTTGAAGCTCTTGTCCATCAAATCTGCAAACACCAATTCTACTTCATGATGGACAGTGTTGAAGGTTGTCAGCCGCAGTGATACCAAGACTCAGAGTCTTCTAGCTACACCGGGTGATGGGGTGGTTTGGTATGATGTTTAGGATAAGAAAGAATGAAAGAGGGGCCCAGGTTATGGGGGTGTTTACGGTGCCCTCTGGGATACGAGCCTAAGTCTAATATGACGACTGGTGGAGGCTTGGGCGGGGTCTTGGCAAAAGGCAAGGGTATTTGGTCCGGTATCGGAAGATGGAGGGGTAGGTTTTAGAGCTAGGAAGGTTACTTACTTGAGTCGGAGTCCCCTCAAGTACGAAGCGGTTTGAAGCTCAGGCGGCAGTGGAGTCCAAAGGCAACGAAGTCCGGTTAGCGAGCGCAGAGAGTCTGCGTGTGGGTCAAGGATATCGTTTGGTGGTTTGGTGTTCCTGGTTTGTGGTTTATAAAAGAGAGCAAGAGGTTAGTGAGGTGGTTGGAGGAGTTGTTTACGGAGTGGTTCTGGAAAGGAAAAGTGGATACTTGATGCTCAATGTTTACTGACCTGAGCTGGCTTTTATCCTCATCGGGGCCGGTACTGATAGCGTATGGGAAGTAGTTTCCTGTTTAGGTTCTGTCCGACCTGTTTCCTTGGTCATGAGGTCATGACTAGCGATTTCAACCTCAGCCATTATTCTGAAGTGTGTGACATCTTGAGAAACAGGGTGTCACAGCTCAAGGAATAGCACTGGAGATG